TTTCATTGTTTTTGCAATGTTTTTCATCAATTTTCAATGGTTTTTCATTGTTTTTGCAATGTTTTCATCAGTTTTCATTGGTTTGTTCATTGTTTTTGCAATGTTGTTCATCAATTTTCATTGGGTTTTCATTGTTTTTTGCAATGTTTTTCATCAGTTTTCATTGGTTTTTTCATTGTTTTTGCATTGATTGGTTTTTCATTGTTTTTGCAATGTGTTTCATCAGTTTTCATTGTTTTTCATTGTTTTTGCAATGTTCTTCATCAAATTTCATTGGTTTGTCATTGTTTTTGCAATGTTTTGAACCCTTTTGAACCCTTTTTGAGCCCTTTTGAACCCTTTTGAGCCCTTTTTGAGCCCTTTTGAACCCTTTTGAACCCTTTTGAACCCCTTTGAACCCTTTTGAACCCTTTTGAGCCGTTTCGAGCCCTTTTGAACATTTTTTGAACTATTTGAACCATTTTGAGTCCTTTTAACAGTTGTGAATAATGGAAATCCTTTGGCACAACAAGGGCACCCTGAGCAAATGCTGAGGCATACTCCTTTCCAGCACACAACAGGCCATACGTAGAGCGCGAGCAGCGACTTCCAGCATCGGAGTGTCCCGAACCTCCTGTGTGGATGTTGTCGGGCTAGGGGGAAGCTGTTGTTCATGCTCTTTTTAAGATTCTGTCACGTATAGAAAGAAAATCTAGCTGGTCTTAATAGTTTCTTGCCCTGCAGGAAATCCCGCCCGAAATGGGGAAGCTGAAAAAATCGTAGATGATGTGCTGCCACTAGATTCTGTACGTGCAGCACGCCGTCGTTTCAATGCCGGCTCGCATGAACTAGAATCTGAACTGGTTCCATGATCTGTCACGGTAACCAATCCGCTCACTGTGGAAATGGATTTCCGCTCCATTGCTTGCCCAGCTTGTGAGCAAAGACAAAGGGTGCAAAAACGGGTACAAACAATACAATTTGCATACAATTACAGTGAAAATATGTTGTTTTTAGCTGAAATTGCAGGAAATGCTCATGACATGTTCATGTTGTTTTGCTTTGATGATGCCTTTAAACACAATTTGCGTGAGCAAAACCTTCCTTGAATTTCCTGCAGGAAGTGATGCGAACCAGGCAACCAGTATTTGTTTTTTTTCCGTAAGATGAAACATCCCTCCCAAACTGTGGGTTCATCAATGGACACACCCCACCGGAAATGCCACGAGAGTGGCTGCTATATAAGACACTGGTGAATTTGGTGAATTGAGTTCCGTACGATTGGGGGCCCATAGCCCCCGATTGCTTTGAAAGGCGACCAGACCTAGGCCGGCATGGTCAAGGCTTGCTTAAATCTTGGACGTAAGATTTGAACAAAAAACAATGCCTAGAAGGGTCAATGGCACCGGAAACTTCAATTGGTTTCTATGATGCTATTCCACTTGTAGGGGGATAAATTTTCAATTAAAAGCCGAGATGCAAGAAAGATTTCCGTTGGCACACCACCACATGTGCTCCCATCGAATTGAACCTGCGCAGGTTCCCAAACCGAACAACTACAGCAGGACTCTCCATGCCCTGATGAGAACGAACGAAACTTACCTCATTAATTCACAAGCAAACTGTTTTTTTGTGTGGTCCCCTCATAAGATTTCAAGGTGTGGGTGAGCTGCTGGATATGCACGCGTTGCCTGGAAGTGGCGTTCCGTTGAAAGTTCAGCACGCAGCCGCTCCAAGTATGCAACCTTAAATAATGCGAGGCAGCTACGGCGTAAGTAAACACCAGTTCCCATTCAGTAAAAGCCCGTTCCCACCCAGTAAACAATAGAATTGATGCACAGAATGGCTAATGTTGCCTATGATCTCGGGATCCCAAAACTTTGTTCTGATGAGCGGCACAAAACCTGTACGTCATGGAAGGCACACTGGTTTCCTTTCTGGTTGTCACTTCATTGATTGCTTTTCTCCACCACCGTTCCTGCCATGGACAAGGGAATTATAAAGGAATATGGGGACCCTCATGTGCTCACTTGAAAGCAATTGAACCCCATTGAACCCAATTGAGCCCAATTGAGCTCGATTAAGCCTAATTGAACCCATTTGAATGCACTATATTGATCCCATGTAAATGCACATTGAAAGTGAACCTAGCCCCTATATGAAAATACGCTATGATTTAGTTATAAAAGTAATATTGCGTCAAGAATATATAATAGGGATATATTTTTCCCCAGTGGATCCCACTGTTGATACTGTTGAATTGCAGTGGGTCCCGTGTAATCCCACTCCTTGTGTGATTGCATGAGCTGTGTTGCCAGTCCAGCAATGGCCCATGATCGTTGCGTAAGCCATCGCCTTAAGCCTGTCAGGGTGGCATGAAGGGCTTAATGCGGTGGGTTTTAGTGAAAAAAATCGAAATTACCATCCTATAAAAAGAAAACTTTCATTTTGACACCAATAAATAGAAATGGCCTTTGTCATCGTGCATCATTCTCGTTCCCACAGACTCAGTACACTGTATGATGTTGGAGTTGAAAACATCTGCAATTTGCGTCACAATCCCCAAAGCTGATCCGGCGTATGCCTTCTTGGCATCAATCAGGACTCTACGGCTATAGTGTCGAACATTTCGACGTGTCTCCGTTTGGGGTAGATCTAGGCAAAAAGCCAGCCAATCAGCTAAATGGGGCCTAGTTCCGGGACTAGATATCCATGGAATGTTGCTGTCATTAAGATCTTGGGCCCATCCATCAGCCAAATGGGTTAGGTAGAAGTTGTCGTCCCACAAATGCATTGCATCCACCAAAGGGCTGCCCTCCACACGAAAATTGTGGGCAATCTCATTCCCATCCAGATCGACATGGGTTGCAATCAGGTCCGCTCCCAAACCACAGACAGCTTCAATCATACATTTGAGAAGCAGGTAAGCTTTTTGCCGAAAGTCAACCGATCTTCTTGTTTTTGTGAAGAAACATACTAATGCGGCTACCATCACAGATGTATATCCCCACAGAGTGTAGGCTGTCCCAGATGACTTGAACCGTAACAAGTCTGGAACTGGAACCCCTGGCCACAGAGCGTGGTGTGCATCCTTGCAGGGGGGAGGTCCGAATGGAACCGGGCTACCCTAAAATACAGGTTTCCTAACATGGTGATACCCCTAAATGTATTGCGCCAGTATTGAAACCCGTGATTTGGGGGATTCCCCCTCAATTGGGCTCAATGCGGCTCAATGGGCTCAAATGGGTTCAAATGGACTCAATGGGGCTCAATGGGGCTCAAATGGGAACATATAACAAGGCATTTACATGGTGTTTTGCCTTTCTGGCGATCAGTGGCCAGCCAATATTTTCTTTTGGGGCTAGGTTTGATCTATGGAAGTTTGAACCGGTTAAATCAAAAAATCTAAATGGTTCGAATCAACAATAATCAGCAGGCAGGGAGAAATAAAATTCCACCAAGTCCCAAAGAACGAATGGAAGGAAAATCGATAAACGGTTTGAATTTACCTTCAAATATCTCCATTTTAATGCCGCAAACAGTTTCCAAATTATGTGTTTGTTCTCATTCGTTGGGACTCACGGGTAATTGTACAACATGTACCAATTTGCCAAACCCACAGTCCTGGACTTCAATGTGATATTCCGACCACCGTTTCATTAGTCTGCGATTAGCATCAAACAGAGCCTTCAATATATCTCGCAGAATGAAAGCACATTGGATATTTTCCTGAGCATCTGGTACACCAACCATGATTGGGTATTGCTCAGCCAAAAATCCAGAGCCGACACAAACATTCCATACCCGGAAATCGGACATCTTGGAAGGGTGGTCGGAGGCCATCCGGCTTGATTCTGGCCCCCTCACCACCAATATCTCATCATCATGGGCCACATCATCAGCGGCGAAATCTGAATCCGGTTCCATGGCACGGGGTCCAGCTATAAGCTAGTAGATTCAAAATCTTAGAAGTTGTCCTGTTAGTGACAGTGGTCCAAGGATGCATGATTCAATTCAATTATATCAGTAATAGTATAATGATATAGAATAATATTACTTCTCTTGGAAAAAACAATTTCCACTTTGTATGTGTATACCCATGCACGGTCTTCTTCTAAATGTACCTGATCAGATGCAGTTCAGTAATAATAGTAATAATAATGGGATTATTCGTTCCATGGCTTCTCTTGGTAAAATATTTTTCACTTTGTAGGTGTTTTCCCATGCATAGTGTTCTTCCAAATGTACCTGATTAGAGCCAGATTGAGGCAATTTGAGGCACACTATTTTCCATGTTGTTTCCCAAAATGCAATGTTCTTCTCCAAAATGAAACCGTTTGAGCACTACCGAGTTCATTTTGAGTCTATTTTGAAACCGTTTGAGGCCATTTTCTTCGAACACCGTTAAGCACTAATAGTGTTTAAAAGTGTACTTTTAAAGACCGTTAAGGTTCAAAATTTTGCGTTTTGCGGGGTCGGTTTTCCCCCCCCCGAACGAGTTTATGACCCCAGTCATGTTAGCATATATATATATATATACCAGCACCATGGATCCGTCATGGGTATTAACAATAATGATAATGATAATGATAATGATAGAAAAATAATGCTAATATTTGATGATAATTATAAAAGAATAGTTGTTACTTCATTGTTCATTGTTGTTAATGATGATAATAACGATAGTTATAGTAACTAGTAATAGTACTAAATAGCAGTAATACTCAGAATCATAATAATATTAATAGTACTGATACTGATGATGATGATGATGACGACGATGACGACGATGACGACGATGACGACGATGACGATAGAATCACAATTCTCATCATTGCAAGATATGGGATTGTCTTGAAATATTTGAAATAGGGCGTGCCGCCCCAATTCCAATGGATTATAATCCATGTCCCTCTTAGAAGTTTCCAGACAAAGCATATCATCTAACTGAATCTAACTACTGACTGCCAACGTCACTGCATCCTTTTGCAGTGATGTTTGAGGATGTTTTTCACCCATCTTCACCCAGCAACAGCTTCATCCAACAGCGCCATCCTTAGGCCTTCACCCACATCACGGCCCGTCTTTGGATTTCGAATCTGCCCTTGTCTCAAGAGATGACTCACCGTCTTCCCCCAGGCCTCGGTGTTACCCGGCAACGCCGCAACGGGGTAACCGCAACGCGCTTTTCACTCCTGGGATCCCGACGGGGTGGTCCGCCTGCTCGCGTAAAGCAGAATGGAGATCGAAAGTATCGGAATACCTCGGATCGGTTTGGAAAGGATCCGAAGGATCGGTTTGGATCGGTTTGGCGACTGAAAATATCCAAATTTCTGATGGATTTTGCCATTGAAAATTGGGATTTTTGAAAATTGTGGATTTTCCCATTGAAAATTGTGAGTTACCCATTGATAACAGTCTGCACTTGCGACTGAAAACTTACCAAAAGGATCAAGACAGGTTTTAAAAAGTGTCATCTTTCACAAACTAGAGTGTGGAAGCAGCAAATTCATCGTAAAAAATCCACAGAAATGCCAAGATACCTGGTAGTCTCTGTTCTTGGGTACCTCAGAATGATGCTTTACCAAAGCAGTTGCAATTGACATCAATTCTCGAAACCACTGGATTCAGCGTTTGTGAGCTGTCTCAGTCATTTGAGCAGTGTACGAGATGTAGCCAGATGTGTACAAGTGCTCAGCCACTTTCATGCACTGCACGGGCGACATACCTGGCATCTGGCATCCCATCACCAGGAAAAACCCACCGTTGAAGGAACGCGAATGGAAAGCCAGCTGGGTTTCACCCGTGGGTTTCACCAACCAACGGCGCCGAGCAGCCCAATCCGGTGCTTGCAGCTTTCAGCAACTGCACAGTGTTCAAACCTCGCCATGGCGTCGTCCCAATTTTTTTGGGGAAAAAAATCGATGGTTGTTTCGTGCATCATTTCTTCAAAGGGCCTTAATTGTTGGGCCTTAGATTGAAGGTAAATCTATGTAAATCCATGTAAATCCATGTAAATTCCCTAATTTTGAGGTCCCTCCGATGACTTTGTCTCGGAAATTTTCTTGCGGAAAGTCTTCACGCTGGGGCTCAGGACCAACGGGCTTTCTCAAAGTCTTGGGCGTTGTCCTGTCGACAACGAACGATTGCAACTGGAAATCTCCTTGTGAAAACCATCTGTTCCACTGGAACATGATCTTATTGTTACTGGTTTTGTGGTTTTTCGCTACCCCTCTGAAAAATATTGGAGTGAGTTCGTCAGTTGGGATGATGATGGGAAAATCATCCAAATGTTCCAAACCACCAACCAACTTGGAACATCCCTGTTGAAATTGTTGTTCAATCCCCATCTTTATCAAATCTTTTTCAATGGAGCAACCAAAGCCTCATTGGCTTTTCGAATGGACACAACTACAGCAGGCAACTTGTCAATAAGGTACCATTGACCAACAAAATCACTGGTTCATCATGTTCTCATATTTTCCCGAGGAAATTCTATGAAATTCGCCATTTTTCATCATTTTCCTGCCATTTTTCTGGTGGAACTTCCCCATTTGGAGGCAGATCCACCAAGGGTTTTTTTCGTCCTCAATTCTTTCACCGTGGCTTGTTTCGCCGCACCAGCACGTGCTTGTAGGGTCTGAATGCGACCTGTTATTTCCAGAGGTTTTTCAGCTACGGCTGGTCATGGCTGGTGGGTTGACGCAAAAAAAGATGGGGTTATAGTTACAGCTATAGTAAGTTATAACATGTTATTTTCATAAGTTCTTATAAAGTCTAAAGTCCCTTACATGGGATCCTGGGATGAGAGATGTTCCATCATGTTTGTCTTAAACAGAGAATAAACGGCGCATTTTCCCATGGGATTCCCATAAATTCCCATGATTTTTCGCCTGAGTCCAACTCACATGGCGACATGGCGACCATTGGCGATCCCACCTGCATCGAAGGTTTGGTCCTCCAACCAATCGAACTCCAGTGGCCAACCCTCCAAAGTGATGGAGGCCTTTGGTTTGAAGAACTCCTGCCTGCGAACTTTGGCCGAAGATTCGTGGAAGTCATCAAAGGTCAAAAAATGACCCTCCGGTAAACTGTCACATAACCATGGAAAATCACCATGCTATTAATGGGTAAATCCACTATTTCAATGGCCATTTTCAATAGCTATGTTAGTTTACCAGAGGGTACTGTAGACTTGGAGTATCAAGACAACGAGATTTACTGAGCCGATTTGTAGATGTTGATATGTATCCTTTTCCAAGACGACCATTCTCTGTTGGTTGATATTGTATGGTTGATATTGTAGTATGGTTTATGTGTGTTTATGTGTCCTTCTGTAAGGCTTTGATGATGTTTGGCATATTCATATTATTTCATATTCATCTCCATCCCACCAGGCACCAGGCCTCTGGAAGTTTTGGATCTCCTTGTGTCGTTCCACGCAAAACCATAGGGTCGGTGTCTGACAGGGTCCATAGGATAGGCAGGTCTGATCTCGCAGCCGGAATTTGTCCACGGCGTAGCGTAAGTACTGTCGCGTCATCAAGCGAGTGAAGATGCATCCGATCTTCAGGTCCAGCTCCTCAAGTCACACACAACAACAATATCTAAGAGTGATTGTTGGATCAGTGGTGAAGTGACAAGAAACTTGGCGACCAAAAACGCCAGTTCATCATAGTTTCTTGCAGGAAACAGTGGTTTTTTAACAATGGACTCATGATTAAAATATTGATGAATCAGGGTCCTGTCGTGCATCCACTGATTGGGCTTGGAGCTTATCAGGGCGCCCCAGGTTGTTGAAGGCTCCCTTCAGCTCCGGTTCAGTGAGAGCGGAAAATTGAGCCCTGCCATGTGGTGCCATTGATGCGCGTGTGCCATTGATTTTTTTAAATTACTGCATGGATGAAGCACTGTATGACTCAGTATGACTATCTATGAAAATATATGAACATATATGACTGTCTATGACTATGACTATCTGATTCACCTGATTGGAGATTATTCAATGGCAAAAAGGCAAAAAAATATGGCACTATGATCATTGCGATTGTAAAAACAAAGACATACCGATCATTACCGATGCGTGTTTTTCCAGCGTGGATCTCAAACACTCATAGCTACCAAACACTGAGTGAACTGATCCTTCTGTGCAGTTGTACAACAGCAAACTGCTCACAGAATTCACGGAATCCGCACCTGTAGATGTTCTCTCTCTGGATGTTCTCGCCTGCGAAAAAAACATAAAAATCATCTCAGTCTCAGATCGCTGCTCAAAAAAGTGCTCAAAAAAGTGCTCTTTTTTCTGCCAAGAAACACAATGAAATCACCTCAAAGCAGATGTTCTCGCCCTGCAACGGTACGTGCTGGCCGTGAAATTTCTGGATCTTAGGGATTGGACCAACCAGGACCCATCACCCATCAGAGCTGCATCAGCTGCAGCCTCTTTATCGCAATCCAACCACAGGGCCAAATAATCGGCTTCTGCGGCCAACTCCTGATGTTCAACTGGTTATAACTGGTTGGAACATTGGTTGGAGCATGGTTGGAACATTGGCAATGACACTAATGACACGGCACACGGCACACGGCACGACGTCGTCCTGGAAGTGCTCAACAATCCGATTCTTGGCCTAGGGCTAAGGCTGCTAAGAGAAGGAGTGGTCATGCTATCCCTTGCCAAAACCATCATAACGACCATCGTCACGACCATCGTAAAGCCAATTTCAGTGAGCTAGTGAAATTTCCAACGAGGACACAACATTCACCAGACCTGACGACTCTCTTTCAGAAATGGACAATTCCATAGAATTCCATAGAATTCCTATCAAAAAATGCATCACCAATGGGATTTCCGACCTTCCCCCGGGAGCTGAAATTCTGAAATCTCGCTGTGGCTCCCTGCAGTGCTATCCTCGATGGTCTTCTTGCAGGGATCGTGGAACAATTCCGCGATGTCTTTGGGCCGGTTGTCTTTGAAATCCAATCCTTAAGGCTGGTGGATATGCCTCAACCTCAACTAACCTCAACTAACCTCAACCAACCTCAAGCAACCTCAACCAACCTCAACCGCAACCTCAAGCAACCTCAAGCTGTTGGTCATCTGGCCCAACGTTCACCCAAAAGAACCCTGGCAGCCATGGTACCGAAGACGTGCCCAATGGTGGAGGTCTGCATGATGCGGCACTGTTGATGAGCTGGTGGAAAGTAGGCATTAAACTCGTAGATCTGAACAGCTCTGCTCTGACCTTTCAGCAACATCGAAAGATATCCATGGATATCCACTATCCATGGATCATATGGAGCTTTCCAAAGTCATAGGGCTACCCCAAATCATCCACGTCGACCATTTTGGGTATTGAATCCCCCCATTTTGAGAACCCCCCTTTTTTGGATACTCAGTTTGAAATCAGTACCAGCCTTAACGAAAACAAGAAGTTTTAGCATACAAAAAGCAGGATGAATCCGAAACATCGGATTTTTCTGGGCAAAACATCGCAATCCAAATAAATCACAGACATCGCCATCCAAAAGTTGAAGCCCCATGGGTATTACCCTCTGGTAAACTAACATAGCTATGGAAAATCACCATTTTTTATGGGAAAACTCACTATAAATGGCCATTTTCAATAGCTATTTTGACATAACCAGAGGGTACCCACCCAGGTCATCCCAAGCGGCCTTTGCGGAATCGCATCCGACCACCGGAGAGAAACTCTGCGATGAGCTTCGCGACGGATGGCTTTTCTGCTACCATCAGCACCTTCCCGGACTCAAAATCGATCCAAAAATGTGGTCAAAATGGGATGGCATTGAAAATTTGACCCATTTGACCCGGCTGGAACCCACCTGGAATGGCAGCTGATGTTTTTATGGCAAGCCGAGCTATCGTGAAGGAGTTTGACAAGACAAACATGGCAAAAAACACGACCCACGAGTTGTCAGTTTCAATGGCAACTTCTTTGGTGTCAAAGTAGCAACATGTAGCAACCCTCAAAATATCCTAAAATATCCAAGCCAAGGATCGTTGTTTTTTTTTATTGGGCCCCAACATCAAAAGTCATCAATTTCTTGGCATCAAACACTGTCCGTGGAAAATATGGCACCTTTGGCAGATGGTCCCAGCGATTGTCGTTTTGCTGCGACTTCTGGCGCCTCCAAAGCATTTGATCGACCACCTCGCAAGGCCATGGGATCGGTTTTTGATGGTATATGGATGGTATATGGATGGTATATGGATGGTATATGGATGGGATTATGGGATGGTTATGGTAATTATGAACTTGATGAAACTTGATGAAGATCCATTTCTGAAGTTCATCCATGCCATTTTTTTCGACTTTGATGCAATGCTGTGATGCTGTGCCTGCTGCATCTCTGGAGGTACGGGTGAACCCGCTTTCTTCATGACTTCCGCGATGTCAATGGCTTTCCAAGCATCTTCACCTGTCAGAGTGGCTTGGAGTGGCTTGGTCGCCAGCATCGATGATGGCCTATCAATGCCTATCATGTTGCGTCAGGTACTACGCATCTGCCTTTGGTTTTTTTTAACTTGGAATTCTAACATATGACTGCGCAGCATTGTACAATGACTATGACTATCATCCTTAAATGAGTCCGAAAAATCGGGTAGACCTTAGCCCATGTTCATCCATGTTTATCCATTTTCCATGTTAAGATTGCACCATCTTCACGGATTTTTTCTGCGTGACAGTGACCTGATTTCGTGAGGAAGGTCATGCTGTAGCCTTTCTGACCCGCGCGACCGGTTCTCCCGATCCTGAATCCAAGTAGGTCAGCGAGATATGGCCCGATATGGCTAAGAAACCACTTAAAATCAGCTGGATAATGGTGGATGTGTTGGGACCATATTTTAATGGGATAGCAATTGGAATTACAATTGATAATATTGATAATTCCATTAACATTGGTATCCCAAAATTGATAAGGTAATATTGATATTCCACCATTATCCACCTGATTGGTATTTTAATGGGATTCCAATTGGATATTCCAACTTGGATTGGTTACAAAAAAAGAGACCAAAGTCTATGTCTGAGGTTGAAACTCTCAATTCTCACGCTAAAAAACCTATCGAGAACATGCCGTGCGCAGAAAACCAAAGATGCGGCGCAGACTAGGTCACTAGGTGTGAGATCCAGGCATGGATCGAAATTATTTTAAAAAAATTGGGGTACCAATGGATTAGACTGATTCAACATGATTCAACCATCCATTTTGTGGATGAAAAAAATGACCAATCTCCACATTGCCTTTTTTTTTGCAAGCCGAGGCGCCGATGGACATGATCTTCTGCGCTGTTGGCACTGTCATAGTTGACCACCATGGTCACTCCTTGCAAAGTTTCATCAAGTCTCATGCTGCGCACAAAATTGTGACCCAGTATGACCCAGTATGACCCAGTCCAATATCAATTCACTCAAACACTTGTAACGTTGTGGGTGGTTGTCCTTTGATGTCCAGACCACGTGCTGCCACATCGGTGGCAATCAGCACGCTCCTGAGTTTGTTTTCTCACATTTTCTGGTGAAAAGTCTGAAACTGATGAAATGGAGATCTCGGGGCCCGTCTCGGGCTCCAGACGTCTCACCGGATTTGAACTGTTGTAGAGCTTCCTCTCGCTGAGCCTGGTCCTGGCACGACATCGACATGCTCGACACGACATCGACATGGTGGGATGTTCCAAAATGACGACGGACCGAGGACTGGCCAAAGCATTCACAGACATGCTCTAGGTGCTCTGGTTGTGCGCTGGTTGTGCTCTAAACACTCAGTGTTTTAAGTGCTCTAAATGTTTCGGGGCGTTCAAGGGGCACAAGTCGCCATGAGCTTAGCATCGGCATCCCAGGGGTCCCAGTGCACCTTGTCACTGTGCATGGTGTTGGCAGCGATACTGTACTTGCGAAGCATTCGCATGATCATCTGAGCACGTCAGCCGGCACGAGTCGGCACGAGTCGGCAGTCGGCACGGGCCCATCTAGCACAAGAAGTCTGAAAACTGAATAGGCTTACCTCTGGTAACCTCTGGTAACCTGGTAGGGTGAGGCCACGTTCAAACTAGTTAACTTTACTATGCTCACTCCAAAGGTCGGCTTTCCAGGATCGTCTCTCGTTCGAATTCTGCAGAGTTTCACCTGAGGCCCTGACATCGCATTGCTTCTTCATGGCGACGAAAACCAGAATCCTCTGGCCCGGCCCACCATAGAGTTGAAGAGCTTCCACCAAAGCAGCATCTTTATCATCTGCGGAGGTCAGCATCCAAACCTCCTGCGAAATGTCTTCATTGGCGGATAAACTGGATGTATTGCCCACTTGCACATGGATGGGCATGTTCAAGAAGTCATGCCTCAGCAATCGTTCATTGCAGGCAAGCTGGCACTCTTCAGCATGGGATACCCGAAAGCTTCAGCATTTCATATGAAATCAACGATCCAGATCCAGATTCTGTAGCAACATGTAGCAATGAATCATAAGAATTAGCTCCCCATCTCCATCCTACAGAACATAGAATCTGGGTAAATTTGATATTTCACTAACCTGAATTAAGGCCATTTGGGGATGATTCCCCTTACTAATCATGATTTCCAGTGAGGTCGCAGTGAGGTCGTTATAATTTACCCAGATAAAATACCAAGCCACGCCAGTTGTTGAACCTCCTCAGGCCATGTCGCGCTGAACATCAGCGTCTGTCGATTTTTGGGCACCTTCTTCATGATGTCTCGGATTTGAGGTTCGAAACCCATGTCCAGCATCCGGTCAGCTTCATCGAACACCAAATAGCCAACAGCACCAAGGTTGATGTCCTGGCTGAATCGGACGACCACATCTAAAAAATGGATTTCTTACCAAGTCCTAAGAAAAGATGGGAAAAAACATGAAAAAACACAGCGTGAGAGCTTGAGACTCTACTGGTCAAAAAAAGACTCGGGATCGCGCAAACAGTTGACGGATAGGTTCCAGGGATCCCACGGTTTTTTGCAGAGGTGTATCCCATGTGTATCCCATGCCGCGTTTTTTTGGCCATGTGTTTTTTGGGCTCCTTGTACTCTAAGAAGTCATTGAGCCTTCCAGGGGTAGCAACCAGAATGGGAGCTCCAGCTCGCACTGCTGGTAGCTGTTCCCTCTTGGGTTGACCACCATAGACGCAGGCAGAGGAACACCCTGAAGCTGAGGCAAACTTTGTGGCCTGGCGGATCGATCGGATTTCGGTTACCCGATTTTGTTATGAACACTTCGCCATGGTATAGATGGCCCTAATCGAAATAGATGGTTTAACGGTTTACCTATTAAACATGGTGATTTTCCATGGCAAACTGTGAATGTCATAACCAGATGCTAGTGTTTGAAGGATTGCAGTCCTGTAGTTTACTGTTTGCTGAATATTGCGATAGTTGAAGATGGATTACTATTGCTGATGTGAAGAAGGATTCTGAATGAGAAACATCGCTTCGCCTTGATAAGGACCGTTTCGAGTCTCGTGCTGGGCTGTGCTATGGATGAAACCCTCAATTTCCGCCCAGATCCATCAAATGTATCATCAATTGCTTGCTCAACGTGATACGTGCATTTGCTAAGGTCAATCATTCTCACCGTGATTTTCTACAGGGCGCACAAACGGGTCAAAGAATTCACATCAAAAAATAGCTGCTGTTTTCTATGTGTGGATCTTCATCCCCAGAAGAATATGCTATGTTCCCCATGTTTTCGTATGGATATTAGCCCCACATTGACATGGTAGCTTTCGACTCGGTTTCGACCCATCCACTGAAACCTCATCGTTGGGAAGTTCAAAATGCCCTGATTGTTGTTATCATGTACCCTCTGGTGCTTTAACATAGCTGTGGAAAATCACCATCTTTAATAGGTAAATCAGCTATATATGGGCCATCTATACCATGGCTATGTTAGTCATAACCAGAGGGTATCATTTGTGGCTAAAAAAAATATGATGATCATCATTCATCATTATCATTAAGCAATTCTCATCATCATGAATTGTCACTATTACTATCAGTATTGATGATGATGAGAATTCAGTATTGTATCATTCACCATATCATTCTCATGATGAATTACAAATAGCCAACATTACTATTATATGATACTGATATGAATCATCATTCATCATTATCATTCACCATTATCATTCTCGCTATTTTGTTGGCTATTTGTTCAATCTCATCAATCCCATATGAGGCTTTCATAGCCAAAAAAAATTGGGGAAAGCAGGCCCACTCAAAATAGTTGATTTTCCATTGAACAATTGCCATTTTCAATAGCTATGTTAAATTACCAGAGGGGGGTAATGTGGTAAAAACAATAATAAACCACCCATTTGGAAATGGTAAACATACCACCAACCAAAAAATGGTGATAAAAAGCGGGATGGTGGTTATGACATTGTTTTACCATGACCACCTTCGGAAAACCATTTATAGTTGATTTTCCCATGCAAAATTGCCATGTTCAATAGCGAAGTGTTAAATTGGAGGGTACCACCTTCGGAAAATCATCCATAATCCATAAATAGGTGCTATAAATATACCATTTCCGGTCATGGGTGGTAAACATGACATTGGTTTAAAAAAAAAAAACATGTCTTACCCAAAAAACCTTCGGAAAATCCTCATGATCCTCCAAAAACCATGGGTTTTGAAAAAAAGTGGGACATGACCCAAAAGGGAAAATCCCTACCCTCTGGTTATGTCAAAAAGCTATTGAAAATGACCATTTATAGTTGATTTTCCCATTAAACATGGTGATTTTCCATAGTTATGTGACAGTTTACCAGAGGGTAAAAAACCCAAAAATCCTCAACCTACAAATCAATGGATTGGTTTAAGGGAAAATCTACAGGAAACCATCGATTTTCCCATGAAGATCATGGGGTTTTCCTGTAAATTTTCCCTTAAACCAATTCTATGATATCTGGTTGGTGGTTGACCTACCTGGAAAACCATTATCATGAAAATATGGGGGTTTTCCTGAGGATCCATGATGGGGTCCCAATCCATTGAACAAAGCCCCAGGACCTCATCATGGATCTGGGTGGCCAGCTCTCGGGTGGGCGCCAAGATCAAGGTCCGAACTCCACTGGAGGGGCTGGACCACATCCAGCGATACGCGGGGACCAGGAAACCCAACGTCTTGCCGGAACCCGTCCTTTATCGGAACAGGGGGAAACCCCACGGAAACCCATGGGGAGATGCTGGGGATAGGATACATGGGGATTATGTTGATCTTGTCTAACTTGTGGTTGTTCTATGTTGTTCTGGTGTCTTTTTTGTTGATCATGCTTGGTTTGTTTTCAGATGTTTCATGATTATAGGATGTTCTTGTGTGTTTTTTTTGTTGGATGGAATTGGGGAAGAATAATGGTGTCTAGTGGCTATTTAAAAATATGTGGTGACAGCAAATTAACTGGTGAAAAATCATTGGTGATATCGTGGGTGCAATGGAGACATCATGGGATATACCCTACAGAACCAGCACTTTCCATGCACATCAAGATTGTGGTGGCAATCACCTAGATCGGTCTGAACATAGGAGAGTTACATTGATGTACCTTACCCACCTAGTCACTATGGCCATTGACACATGGGGAAAATGATCTTCTAAAACCAAACCTTCAAAGAAAAACCAGAAACAAACGACAGTGATGATATGTGATGTTTGAGTTACCCTCTGGTAAAACATACAAAAAGCTATTGAAAATGGCCATTGAAATAGTGCATGTTCCCATTAAAAATGGTGATTTTCCATAGTTATGTGACAGTTTACCATGTCGGGTTTTTCAGCGATCTTTGAAGCTAAAATAAGCTAAAGTTTCACCTGCCAAGGCTGCCAAGGCTCTTGGCGATGCCAATCACATCCCAACCTTGATCTAAGATGGGCCACACCTGCGCCTGAATCGGCGTTGGTGCTTGGAAGCCAGCCTTTTTGAAGGCATCCAACAAAGGCCGCGGAAGGTTGGCCTCCACAACAATCCATGGTCCCATCATGGACCAAAATGGCACATGTCAGTTACATGTTTTTGATCACTGTTGTGCACATATGAAAATGCTGTTGATGTTTGGGTTTTGTTAAGAATATGTTCACCATGGTTCACCATGCTTTACCTCATCAGATGACCTCTCATCCGTTTCGATGCTGCTTTGTACTTATTCTACAGTATTCTACAGCTTGCAATTCTTCTCAATTGCTTCAATAATATGTCAATATCACATAAGATTACATAACACCTTTCGCAAATTGCTGCCTCTGGATAGCTGGTGTATGGTTGCGGCACATCCTTGCTGGAACCATCGGTATACCAGGCGCGGATGTGGTTCTTCAAGCGGTAAGGATTCTTCTCCTCATAGTTCGGCACGTTCATCTCAGCAGGGGCCTTCACCTTCAACAACAAAAACGACGCATCAAACATTTTGGTGAGAGAAAAATCATTCCAATGTTTACCCTCTGGTAAACTAACAGTTTGCTATGGTATAGATGGCCTATTTATAGATAGTTGACCTATTCAACATGGTGATTTTCTATAGTTATGTAACAGTTTACCAATGTTTATCCCAACATATCACAGCCTGACTTTGGAATCCTGATGAGGAGTGACTATAAAATTGTATCTGGTTGGTGGTTTTTCGCAACCCCTCTGAAAAATGATGGAGTTCGTCAGTTGGGATGATGACATTCCCAATATATGGGAAGATAAAAAATGTTCCAAACCACCAACCAGGTATATATACCATCTGGTTATTTAACATAGCCATGGAAAATGGCCCATTTATGGATGATTTTCCCATTAAAACCTCCATTTATAAGGGATTTTCCATGGCTATGTTAAATAACCAGAGGGTATATCCATACACCATGCTATGGCCTGCTTGGGCGCTTTCTTCACATAGCTGGAGGCTGCTGCTGACATGGCGTCAAAGCCCGAAAGAGCCTCCTGAGCATCAAAAAAAATATAGGTCTGTCGCAAAAAAAATCATAGGGTACCCTCTGGTAAACATACGAAAAGCTATGGAAAATCACCAAGGTTTAATGGGAAAATCCACTATTTAAATGGCCATTTTCAATAGCTATGTTAAATTACCATAGGGTACCCCCAAATCCACGTCTTTTGAAAACACATCTTCCACTCATCAGTGGAATTTCACAGGGGTTTCCCTGTGTGAATTTTCGGTTTTTTGATGTTTTTTTGTGTAGCCCATTCCAAACTTGAAATCATAGGGTTTCCCCAAATCCCCAAATTCAATGGCCCTTTTAAAATCCAAAAAAAACATGCCGTTTCTGTTGCCCTCTGGTTTCTGTCTAGCCATGGCAGTAATTACCAGCCAAAGGCTTCGATCCCCCAGGCCTCGCTGGTTGCGGCAGCCCAATGTCCATTTCCGTTAGCGCCTTTGGAGCTGCCCTTCCCTGCAACGAAAATTCTGCCAAAATCAGATGACGGAAGGAAACCCAAAAAAAACATCTCAGAGCTACCCATTAAAATCTGGAAAATAGTCTGGAAATAGTCTGGAAATACTCTGGAAATACTCTGGAAAGAGTCTGGAAAACATTTCTTGGACTAAGGTGACGATCAGAAAAGTGAGAACCCCCAAAATGAAAAGATCAGAAAAGATCACGAATTTCCTACCCTCTGGTAATTTAACATAGCTATTGAAAATGGCCATTTATAGTGAGTTTTCCCATAAAAAAATTGTGATTTTCCATAGCTATGTGACAGTTTACCAGAGGGTATATTTCCTCGCCAAAAGGCCTTTGGATTTTCCATTCTTCCCATCTTTCCGGCCGTTGAACGGAGCCGCCGGAGCAGCTTGAGCACCTGGCGCCGCCAAGCCGGCTTGGCTATACCTCAGTGAATTTGATCATCAGATGAAGACCAGGAAAAAAACAGGGGAAAAATCATTGGTCTTCATTGGATTTTTCATATATATTAGCCATATATTAACCATATATTAACCATATATTAACCATATATTAACCATATATTAACCATATATTAACCATATATTAACCAGTATATCATTGGATGTATGATATATTGGACTAATGGACTAATGCCATATATGATATTTTTGAAACACCAGTGATAAATAAAACAACCACCCATATTTCATCACCATATTTCACCATATTTCATCATCTTTCATCATCTTCCATCACTGGTTGGTGGTTTTTCGCCTATACCTACCCCTCTGAAAAATGATGGAGTGAAAGTTGAGTCAGTTGGGATGATGTTCCATTCCCAATATCAATGGGAAAGTCATAAAATTCCATGGTTCCAGTCACCAACCAGATCATAATTCATCCACTTTTGGGAAGCCATCGGCGTTTGAACCTCGGCGGATTTTTCCAAGACGGAAAAATCCGATGGCAATCTGCTGGGATTTTTTTGATGATTCACCATGATTAACCGGAATAGCAATGGAATAGCAGGCTAGCCATGGGTAGCCGAACTCTTCAACCACCATCTAACATTAAGGATACCCTCTCGTAAACTGTCACATAACTATGGAAAATCACCATATTCAATGGGTAAATCCACTATTTCTATGGCCAATTCATCACTAAATATGGCCAACTCATAATCAAAATGGCCAACTCATCGCCAAAATGGCCAAGTCACCCCTGATTTCCATACGCAAAATTGGGGAAGCCTCCATAGTTTGGCTCAGCACCCAGAAACTGCATGGCCAAATTGTGCCGCTCAGGGGGCGGATTTTTGGTCAACTAAACTGTACTTGATCTGTTGGTTCCTGTGATTCGCAGTGACAGATTGTTTGATCCAATTGCTGAATCATTGCTGAATCTTTCTATGTCAATGACTGGTTAATCTGGTTACTGTTTCTTGCTACTTGATCTACTTGCAGGCTTCAGATGGCTTCAGCTCATTCGTGTTCTTCATGAGGTCTCCAGCCAATATGGCTATGAAATGCCATGAAACTGGAACGTCTACACACTTCGTCACATGTCATGTCATGTCATGTCATGTCATGTCAGGAAGTTTGTGGGAGCTAAAAACATCTACAAACTGCAGCCATGGTCCTTTTTGCAAACGGCATATCTTTCCATACTGGGAGAACTATGTACAGGTCCTTCGAATATTTCGAAAAGCAGCGCTGTCATCCACGCCCACGGCTGTTGCTTCGACCCTTCCACTTGCCCTGGCGGTTTTCGACGACTGAAACCGACAAAGGAAGTATTGCACAACGGAATCTCATCAAGTCAAGCGTCTTAGAACTCAAAATATTCGCAATCGAATTATCTGAGACATCGATTCATGACTAAACCAGGGAGAATCAACACAAAATGAAAAATGTCATGAATTTCATTTCATCATTTCATTCAAATCACTCCCTACACTTTCCCAACTTTCCAAAAAAAACGGCACTTCAAATTGTGGCACCCTCCCAGTATCCGGCCTTTCGTCCTTTGCCTTTGCCTTTGGGACTTTCCGGGTCCACCCAGGCAACTGCTTCGCTGCCGCTGCTGCCAAAGTCCGCGTTCACCGGGACGAAGACGCCGCCCGATTCGCCTGTGACTCGATCGACTCGTCTGGTGATATGGATTGAACCAATCCATGTGTTTTACCCTCTGGTAAACTGTCACATAACTATGGAAAATCACCATTTTTAATGGGTAAATCCATGTAAATCCACTATTTCGACTGGGCCATTTTCAATAGCTTTTTGTATGTTTACCAGAGGGTTAAAAAAAAATGGGAGCCGGCAATTTTGGTCCCAGAATTTTTGGGGAAACCTCCAGATATCTTCAGATTGAAAATATGTCCTGAAACCTCTGAAGAACATCTGAAGATGGGGAACATGTGCAAGAATCAGGCCAAAATTGAACCACCACGGACCACTACTCATGCGTTTTCTGCACTACAGGTGGCGGATTTGATGAACCATGATAAACCTGAGAAGGGGGGAACGAAAGCCAGCATCCCATCCCTATTTTCCCCCAACCAGACTTTTCACCCACAGACTTTTCACCCATATACTTTTCAATACTTTTCACCCACACACTTTTCACCCGCTCCCCAGAACCCCTATAACTCACTTTGTTCGCAAAAGGAACTTCGCCTAGCCTAGCGGCCTAGCGGCTGGCTTTTGTGGAAAGTGTTCCATTGGAACTGCATGGTCTGCCCTCTCTGCACGACGGTGAACATGGTGAACTGACAGGTCAGTGAGGCTCGCATCTACGTTTTACGTGATGATACCACGACATTTCTTTGGAGTCAACCCACAGAAGATCTGATGTGTTTTAAACACTACTGTGGATGGAGGAAATCCTGCACCAGTTAATAGATGGTTTATCCCATTGTAATCCCATTATTTACAATGTTTTATAGTTCCCAATAGTTACCAACTGGTGCAGGATTTCTTCCATCCACACTATGTCTGGTGCTTCGGACGCCGCGAAGCAGCTTCAGACGGCGACATTAACCAACAAAAGCTCGACGTAGTGCCGACCTGCGCTCAATCGGCTTTCACCAGGGGATCAGCTTGGCCGCCAACCTTGCGGCGTCTGGGAATTCCAGCCCATTGTCCAATCTCCAACAATGGCACCATTGGCTTTGTGGGCGACAACCATGGAGCTCTGTGGGATTTTTTGTTGAAGCGGGCTCCGTTGGACTTGAGGCCCTGGACATCTGCACGTTCAATTTCAATGGGCAAGCCGCGGTGGCAAGCCGTGTGTTCGTCATCGTCAAAGTACTTCCCCTCCATGTCCTTCTGAAATCGTTGAGCATCATCTGGATGGATGAAGTTCACAAAGCCCAAGCCCTTGTTGGTGTCACGGCCATTGGAGTTCCATGGCAAGTAAAGAAGGTTGAAGAGACCCTCAAATCCATGTTTCTTGACCTGGTCCATAAACATGTCTTGGCTGTAGTGAAGCGGAATATTCTTCACCACAACCGTCACCATGGGCTCAAGTGACTCAAGTGGCGTGCCTCGCGTTCGGTTTCCTGTTTCTGATGGCTCCTTTGGCTCCTTCACATCCTTCACTTGAGGCGCTTGGACTTCTGGATGCTGCGGATGCAGCTGCGTTTGCTGCATCTGCCGTTGCAGCATCTCAACGATTGGCACCACTTGATCCACCGCGGGTGACTGCACCTCTGAGCTGAAGATGAGCTTCAAATTCCCTGGCACTTTCCAGGCATCGTTGTGACAAGGATGGATGGATTGGATGGGTTGGATGGCGAACTTGCTGGGCTCGTACTCGTCCCAAACCAAGGGTACCGTTGAGCCAAACGGCCAAACGCTCAACGGAACCACCACTGGTCTCGCTTTCACCACTGATACATACGTTTTTCGATTTGCGACGAGTTGGTTTCAGGATGTTTTGGACAATCAATTCAATGGATTGGTTTAAGGGAAAATCTACACCGGAAACCATCGATTTTCCCATGAAATAAATGGGGCTTAAACCTGTAAATTTTCCCTTAAACCAATCCATTGTGACACATGTGACATCCACATCATGATGCGACGTGGCCAACATGGCCTAATTGCAAGCCCGCATCATCTGAAGAATGCCCAGCCTGGCGAATTCGACAGCAGAAACAACGGCTTCACCTTTTAGAATCTGCAATTTCATCGTTTTGTTTCGACCATCTGGTTCATTTTAAAAAAAAACGATCAGTTTTTTATGGTTCATTTAAAAAACCCACCAGGTTTTATGGATGTTTGATGAACATCAACATCTACAGATCTGTAGCTGTTTATTTTCTGTTCATCGTCCCAGGTCGGGAAAATCTGCCAGGATGTCGATATGATCTGCCAGTCGAACTCCAGAGATCCAGGCTGCTTCGATGGTGGATGCGCGTTCGGGCACGGAACTCAACCAGTCGCCTGGCGTTTTTGGCATGGGAAAAACACATGGAATGCTGGTAGAATATGGTACAATGCTAAGTTGGTGTATAACTCCAATAACTATGGTTTATGGTACTTATAACTATACTTACTGCGGCTTTTGTTAACCAACTTATAACTGGGGGGGGTCACATTGTAGAATATGGTAGAATCACAGAATCACCAAGACACCAAGCAATTTCGCAATTTCTTGGTGAGTATGATGTGCCATTCTTCCTCAAGCTCCCATTGTATCACACCACCACCAGTCACATCCTGGCGCTGTCGCTGTGACTTGTTGTGCCTGCAATGCCAATGCGATGGGCCGCAGACCAAACGAAGTCAACAGCATCACTGCTCGCCCATCCTGCCAGCAATTTTCCCTTTGGAAAACTTCTGAAAACGCCTATAAACGCCTTCAAATTTCTCAGCTGATTCTGTAGTTTAGATATGTTTCGATGGATAATCACCATAGTTGAAGATGGCACCAAGTTTCTTCGAAAAAGATCTTAGAAACTGTAACAAACACATGGGTATGGGTCAAAATTAGGTACCCCAATAATTGGATGGTTAATACTAAACTAGACATTCACATCTGTGGTCCCATTAATGGTCTTCCATTTTGACCCACATCCACATGGTGACATGGTGAAGCCTGCCCTACGCGTGCGCGTCGAACAATTTCGCCGAGTTACGACTGATTGGTAAAGCCGCTCCCCAGAGCTGCAATTTCGTGTGTCTCACAGCCCCAGTTGCTCCACCCAAAGTCCTGTGGACGTTTGAGAAGACTACGGCAAAATGAATGGCATCATTAATGTGACAGATATGTATAATATATATATATCATGTATGTATATATTACCATATTATATATATATATACGTATGTATATGACCATATATTCTACACTGTAGCCTCTATCTCAGCTGTTTCATCTTTTTCACGGGAGAAATTTCGTAAAATGAGTCTCAACAACACTCCTGGTGAACCCATCCCCGTCCCGGCAGGCAAGGCCACGGCTTTCTCCACTGCAGCCAGCATCAGATCCACCACCTGGGCACCACCAAACAGCCACCGAACCGGCCACCAAAAACAGCCATCGAAGCGGCCAAGCCTCCGCTTCTTTGGCAGTGCCTTCCAAGAATTCCTGTGGCGCCTTGTGCTGCTTTCCAAAGGCTGGAGAACTCAAGGCCGTCCAAACCTGGAATGCTGGAGCGATACCAACCACAAACCTGTCGAACCATGGTTCCCATGCCTCGTGTTCGGCTTTCTGTTGCAGTTTCCCCGTGTTCGAGGATAGCCATCGCCTGTCACATTGTCCAACCAAGCCAGCGAGTAAAGAAATTCTACTTCTGGACACATGAAAGGAAGAAAGCTCAGATTGGGGATTAAATCGATTAAATGATTACACTGTAAATTACACCCATCTAGTTGGCTGGGCGGTCAATAACCTTCAATAACCTTCAATAACAATAACCTTAAGATAGCGATTCAGGTCACTTGAGTCCGTCATTTCGGCCAAGTGACAAAGTAGCTTCATTCTCCACGAAGGCCTCAACAGTGGCCACTTAAGTTGCTGCAGGTCCGACCCACAAAAAACACATAAAATGAAGATTCATGAACCACATCATACCACATCCAAAGGGTCCCGTTTTTCACTGCTCCCAAGAATGACAGCGGTCAAGCGGCTGCATCGAAGCTTTCGGGCATCACACCTTTGGGCACCTCGAAGATCAGGGAGTAGATTTGATTCAAAGTGAAGCGGCCACTTCCGGGCGCGGGATTTCCTCAGAAAAATCTCTGCGAAACAGGTCGCAAGCAGGTCGCAAGCGGGTCACCAACAG